TATGAGACATTTACTTTCCAACAAAAAGTGCATGTCTCATTAATTTTAAGGATCCAATATTTTTATATAAAGTAATTTTCCTAAATAAAAGTATATTTAATACATAATGTCCAATTTTTATGACTAAGACGATATTATAACATCGAAATGGGTAATAATCGTTATAATATAAAAAATCAATCCCTATTTATACTATTATTAATAATTATAATTATGTATAATATTTTATTAAATAAATAATTTTACTATTTCATTATAATTAATAATTGTTTTATAATAAATCATAATTTATTTATTAATTTTATTATCATTATAAATTATTAATATATTATAGCGAGTGGCCAAATATTTTGAGAAAAAAGAAGAGAAAAGTATATGTTTCATAAATTTTAAGGATCTAATTTTTTGTATAAATTAATTTTCCACAATAAAAGTATTTTTAATTCATGACGTCCAAATTTTTATTACTAAGATGATATTAATTATCAAACAAGGTAATATTCAATAGATAACCTCTATTTATACTATTATTAATAATTATAATTATGTGCAATAATTTATTAAATGAATGACTTTTACTATTTTATATAATTAATAGTTCTTTATAATAAATTATCAAATATCCACGAATTTTGTTATCATTATAAATTATTAATATATTCTAGTGAATGACCAAATAATTTGAGAAAATAATAAGGAGCATAGTTAATGAGAGGTTAATGATCATTAGTTTTATAATTAATAGTATAATTTTGAGTTATAAAAAAATGAGAGAGCAAAAAAGAAAATCAAAAGTTTGGACATGTGTATTCCCTTTTATAAGTAGTATAGATATAGATATAGATGGTATATTTTTCTTTTGTAAAAAGTGAATAATACATGAAATAATTAAAAAAATAAAATAACTCGGGTTCATATGTTTCCTCTATTAGGCAATTTGAGAGAAAGTGAGTGAAATTAAATAAAAAAAGTAATAGATATCACAATAGTTTTTCCCATGTCTTTTAATCGCAAATGAAAAGTAAATCGTGAGGAGGGAAAAATATTGCTTATTGAGGTGAAAATTTATTTTCTAAAGAGACATGCAACCCCGTTTTTTCCTAACCAAACATCAAATATAAAGAAAGTGAACCTCACACAATTTTGTGCCAAAAAAACTATAATTACATAAATAAATATAATTGTGAAGTGTAGCTATAATTTTGTGCGTGAACAAATTTTCGATTTAAACTCCTTTAAATTTTTTATTAAAAAATTCGACCCAGTCCACATTTTATTCTCAAAACCGACCCATTTCGGGCCACGTCAGCAGCGTGGCCACGAAATGGGTCGGAGAACAAATTTTCGAATTAAACCCATTTAATTTTTTTATTATAAAAATCGACTCAATCCACTTTTTATTATCAAAACCGACCCATTTCGGGCCACGTCAGCAGCGTGGCCACGAAATGGGTCGGTTTTTTTTTAAATGACGCCGCTAAATAGCCGGGGTTGCCAACCCCGACTATTTAGTTATGTCGGGGTTGGCAACCCCGACTATTTAGCTAAGGGCAGGCTAAAATAGTCGGGGTTTCCAACCCCGACTAATTTAGGCCCCTGCCTAATTGGTCGGGGTTGGCAACCCTGACCATTTGGCAGAGAGGTTCACTTCGCTACGACAAAATGGTCGGGGTTCCCAACCCCGACCATTTGGCAGAGAGGTAGGTGTTGTTCCCAAAATGGTCGGGGTTGTGAACCCCGACCATTTGGCAGAGACTCTGTCTCAGCCGCCGAGCGGTGAAAAAGGCTAAGTGACAATAGTCGGGGTTCACAACCCCGACTATTTGTTCACTGGGCCCCCGACCTATATAAAGGTCACGACTTCACTCTCTCACTCGTTTCCGGTTCCAGCCGCGTCTCTCTCTCTCATTTTCGTCGATCTCCTCCTCCCAAACTCTCTTTGAGCCACGGATTGCAGCTTTCAACCTCAATTTTTGTGCGGAATTCTAGGGGTGAAAGATCTAATAGGTACTCTCTCCCTTCTCTCCTCTTTTGACACCTAGAAATCTAGGGTTTTCTCTCCAAAACGAATTTATAGTGTTTGAACTCTATTTGTAGTGGTTTATTTAGAAATTTTATTCTTGTTGTAGTTAAAATTAAATATTTGGGGGCATAGAATACTCAATTTTAGGGTTTAGAATTTGGTGGTCAATTTTAGGGTTTAGGATTTAGGGGTTTACGGTTGTAATTGGGTTTTAGGGTTGTAATTAGATTTTAGGGTATTAATTGATAATATTTTTTAAATTTTTTGCATTTAAATGATATAATTTTGATTTGTATAGGTTGAACAATATGATTTTTATTGCTTGCTCTTACGGTGGAACGATTAAGTATGGAATGAATAATATGCCAATGTACATCGGAGGGGTGACAATCCCGTTAATGATATCGGAATCATACAGTTACCTTGACTTGGTTAATGAATTGCATGGAGTTACGACAATTGACCCACGAGATTGCCGGCTAAAAATAATATGCAATTGGCCGATAACTTATGATAGAACGTCCGCCGTTGAGATCTCAAACGATCATTCGATGAGTATTTTGTTTAATTTGAGCAAGTCACAACCAATGGTAGAATTGTTTATTAAAACGGTGCCACATAGTACGGGCCGAATATTCAACCCTCCAAGAGAATTCTCACGCATGTTAGATTTGGAAGTTAAGTCTGAAGGCTTTCTTTCTTCTTCGAGTGAAATACAGCGGACTCAATTTCAATATAAGGGTGGTGCACCTTCATATGAAGAGGATGAAAGAAGCGACGCCTCTGATGGTGAAGATGAAGATAGTGCACCACTTGACAACATGCAATTTGTGGGTGAAGATGATGAAGAGAATCCGGATTGGCCAGATGAAGCTTATGCTAATAATGAATATGTTGAGTACGAAGAACCACCCCCCCCCCCCCAATCGTACAAGTTATGAGGCAGTCTGTTTTATGAATACACAAAGGCAAGGTCGGGCAGAGGGGAATGAATCTGATTACGCATGTCCTTGGAAGTTATATGCATTTGCCGGAAAGAAACATAATGGGTATTTTAGGATCACAAAATACTGCAGTGTTCACACATGTAACAATCCAATGTTCGAGAGAGACCACAGTGGTGCCTCCGCCTCTTACATAGCTCGGTTGATTATGCCAAGATTAAAGAAGAAGCTTGAACTAAGGCCCGATGACATAATTGAGAGAGTGTCACATGATAAGTGGATTGAAATATCGTATATCAAAGCGTGGAATACAAGGAGAATTGCAATGACAAAAATATTTGGTGATTGGGAGAAGTCTTACGCGACTCTGCCTCAATATCTTGATGCGATTAAAAGAAGCAATCCTGGATCTGAATACAAACTCATAACCAAAGAGGTCAATCCGGGAGTTCATAAATTCACCTCTGTATTTTGGGTATTTGGTCCTTCGATCGAGGGATTTAAATTTTGTCGGCCGATCCTTAGCATTGATGGGACACACTTATACGGTAAATATAAGGGTGTATTACTTATCGCTACAGGAGTAGATGCAGATGGAGGCTTATTTCCTTTGGCCTTCGTAGTTGTAGAGGTCGAGAATAGTGAAAATTGGGAGTGGTTTTTTTCTTGCATCCAATTATATATTTTTAATGTGTTGCCTCCTAGAAAAATTACTTTTATATCTGATAGGATGAAAGGTATTCCAAGAGCATTGTACAGGAGATTTGGCTCTGATCACAATCACCGCTATTGCTTACTATACATTAGAGCTAATTTTAAAAAGAGCTTTGGTCAAGTACATCTACAAAACCTTCTTTGGCAAGCGGGTGTTACACCCGAAACGTGTGTGTATGATCGGATACGGGATCAAATTAAGGCAACATCTCCAGCTGCACATGATTGGATTGAGAGTATTGGGAAGCGCGATTACGTCGACCGGTGGGCTCTAAGTAAAGATGGAGGGAATCGCTATTGCATGATGACAACTAATTGTTCTGAAAGCTTCAATGGTGTACTTAAGGGGGCTCGAGCAATGCCCATACAGGCGTTGGTTGCGAGGACATTTTATAGACTAAATAAGTATTTTGTCAAGCGGCGAGAGGATGGAGCAAAGTAGGGGACGTTGTTGACCCCAAAAAATGAAGAGATTATAGGAGCTCGTGTCAAGCAGGCCAGATTGACTAAGATTGTGAGATTTGCTATAGATGAATGGGAGGTTACAGACAATCATGGTCATAATTACACCATTACACCGTCAATCTACGAGGGACACAATGCGCATGCACATGTAACATTCCAGAATTGCAAAAATTGCCATGTGCACATGTTATAGCGGTTACGACCAAGCAATTTGGGGGTGCAAATACATCATATTACACATACGCTTCTGAGGCGTACCCGACGTCCTGAAGGGACTCACCACCGTCGACGCCTTCGCTCCTCAGCTCGTCTCTTTCGGGCCTTACCACCACAGCCATGCCCGCCTAAGGGACATGGACTTCCACAAGATCCAAGCTCTCTACAAATACCTCAATAAAGCCAATAAGAGTCTGGCTCAAGTCACTGAAGCCATGAGGCCTCACTTGGAGAGCATCAAGAGCTCGTACGTCGAGCTTGATGAGCAGTGGCGGGACGAGGAGAGGTTCTTGAAGCTGATGATACTCGACGGGTGCTTCTTTCTGGACGCAATGGTTTGGAAAAACACACCTTTGAGCCCTTACATGGTTACTAGGGTTAATATGGATATGCTGAGACTTGAAAACCAGCTGCCTTTGCTTGTTCTGGCTTTCTTGATCGAGCATGGCGGTAACGAGGTAACACTAGTTACTTAGTCCTCTCCGCTCTCAAAAAAAGTAGTAAAGAGATCACTGTTTTCGTCAAAAGTTGCCTTCATCATTGATTTCATTAAAACTTCAAACGTTACAAATGAATTCAAATAACAAAAATAAAAATTACAACTTTCTTGAAAATAAACACAAGATCCGTTTATCGTCTCTTGCTTGCGTGGGTCTTTAGCCTGTGACGGGGACGTCGATATCCGTGGACTACCTGGCAATCAGATCTGATCCAGAAAAATCGGGCAGAGCTTCGTCGATCCGCGAGGAGATCTAGAAACTTGAAGCGCCTATCTCGGATAAAGCGAGATATTTGCTCTTCTTAGGATTACCGACGAGGGGTAATGCTAAGGAACGGATACGGGTGATGCGAATCTGATGAAGACCTCTCTTGTGTTGAAGCGCTCGACCACTCTTCACTGCAGCAGGGCTTCGCCAATTTCTCTCCAAAAAATTCGCCGAGACACCCTTGGGGTGTCTTGACTTGGCCGAGACACCGTAGGTGCCTCGGTTCAGCTTTGAGACATTTTCAATGCCCGTTTGACTGTTTTCGCTGTAACTTCTTTGTCTGAACCCGGATCTGAGTGATTCCAAATGCGTTGGAAAGCCGACAAGGAGCTCTATTAGCTCCAATGGTTGGATTATCTATGGAATGAATGAGACACGAAGGGCATTGTTCCCTTTATAAACATTGCGGGGCTCCCGATTAGCCCGCACCTTCGTTATTCTGGAATTCTATCAGCTCACGTAGTTCGTCGATTCACTTCGTTATTCTGGAATTCTATCAGCTCACGTAGTTCGTCGATTCACTTCAAGCGTTCACCGACGTCAATCAAACTCCTGTGAACTGGATAGTGACGTTCATCATCATTCCTTAACACTGAGCTGTTCGTAGAGACCTATAGGCAATTTTCGATGCCTACAGATACCCCCTCCAAAGCGTTCCGGACTCGTTTCTTTTATAGAAGAGGCTGGAATACTTTGGATGTAATTGGTCCAGCCTTCAATCGGTGTAAAGGACCTGTAGTTAGCTTCAACTCTTGGCTCCTTCGATTTTCAGTCTATCCAGTGCTTTGATGAATAGTCAAAATCCTTCCGGCGCTGCGTTTATCGCTTGGCCGTCGTCGGAGTCTCGAGTCTATCACTAGTGAGTTGAGTTTGGCTCGTGTCATTGAGTTGGCTTTAAATTGACTATCTCTGTCATATTGTGCTGACTTAAGGTTTTAGATTATCGTATGTTGACTTTTGGTCACAACGCGTTGACTGGCGTTGACCTAGGGTTACGCGTTGACCGGCGTTGACCCTAGAGTTTCGAACGTCGAACGTTAATTTTTTGGTCGCAACGCGTTGACTGGCGTTGACCTAGGGTTACGCGTTGACCGGCGTTAACCCTAGGGTTTCGAATGTCGAACATTGACTTTTTGGTCGCAACGCGTTGACTGGCGTTGTCTTAGGGTTACGCGTTGACCGGCGTTGACCCCAGGGTTTCGAACGTCGAAACGCATTGAAGGGCGTTGACCTAGGGTTACGCGTTGACCGGCGTTGACCCTGGGGTTTCGAATGTCGCAACGCGTTGAAGGGCGTTGACCTAGGGTTACGCGTTGACCGGCGTTGACCCTAGGGTTTTGAATCGTCGAATGTTGACTTTTTGTTGCAACGCGTTGACTGGCGTTGACCTAGGGTTACGCGTTGACCGGCGTTGACCCTAGGGTTTCGAATCAACCTGAGGAGAACCAGTTTATACTCGTGTACTCCTGGGAGTTTCGGGAATTAGTTTAGCCTCGTGTACCCGTCGGAGGTTGACGGGTTATCCTTAAGAATATTATACATAATATTTTCCAGGAACTTCCCGTCAATTGTGAGAAATAGTTTAGACTCGTATTCTCATTGGAGTATAAATACGAGTGTTGAATACGTCGTAAAAATATCCGAAAAGAGGTTCAAAATGCATATGAATTATCCCCGGACCTCTCCACACGAGCGAGCCCACATTTCGCGGCCCACACGCGTATGAATCAACACATTAGGTTTGGGTTCGGTTCAGGGCAGATTTGGGTCCGGTTCATATGGGTTCGGTTCAACCAAGAAAACCCCCATTACAAAAAAAAAAACCTATTCCCCCTCTTCTCTTCCTTCTTTTCTTTCTTTCGGTCCCAGCAAGAATTCCGCCCCCCCTACATTTCTTTTTTTTTTCAGTCCCAGGAGCTCTCCTTCTCCAAGACTCCTTTTTCACCAAAAGTTCCATCATCTTCTTCTTCAAGCCTTCTAAACTCTTCAAAGCTTCAACTTTCCCTCTTTCCAAGCTCTCATCCTCTCCAAAGCTTCAAGCAAGGAAAGTTGGGTTTGGAGGATCTTCATTAACAACAAAGTCTCCTCTTCAAGGATTCTCCAAGCTTTGGTAAGATCTTCTTTCCTTCATGCTTTAGATTGATTCATTTCTCTTGAATCCTCCAAATTTCAAAACCCTAATTTTTTGATTTAGGGAAAAATCAAATCTTGATTTTTGATTCTTGAAAGTTGGCCGAAAATTAGGATATGTATTCCCTTACTTTTGATTTCAATGCTTTCTTAATTCCATGCACATGTATGGCCGAAACTTGAGGGGGCTTTTGTGTAAAAAGATGGACTAAACTTTGAGGGGGTTATGTGCAAATTTTTGGCTGAAATTTTGGAGGGCTTTTGTGCAAATTGGAGGGCTGAAATTTGTAGGGTTTTTTATGCAAATATATGGCTGAAATTTTGGGGGGTGTATGTGTAAATTTGGTTCAATGTGGTTTGAGGGGTTTATTTGCAAAAGAGCAACCCACAAAGTATATAGGGGGTTTATTTGCAAAAGGACTGGAATTTTAGGGCTGAAATTCCAAAAGTTTAGATCACAAACCTATGACCAAAGTTTTGATAAAAGCATGTGGAAACCAAACCGAAATTTGTGGAGGGTCTTTTTTTGGCAAAATTGGCTAAATTTTACAAAAGGGTTTATTTGCAAGATTAACCAAAATTGTGGGGTACTGGGGGTGCTATGTGATCAGGTATGATGACCATGACCCAACTCGAGCGTGTCCTTGACCCGAATTTAGCCTTGAACACGAGGAGTATTTTGGGTATTTCATCAAAACTTACCGTGAAAATGACAATCATTGTTTCGCATGCACAAAATTTGTAGGTTTAATTAGACTTCAACTATAAAATCCTATTTACTCATAGGACTTTAGTTCAAGTTCTTAATTTCCCTTTTAAATTTCGTGTATTCATATTGCACCTGACTTGCTGCTTTTCATTGCAGGTTTTTGATGTCTCCACGTCGTCCTCGACTTCCTAGGGGTCGCGTTGACCTAGGGTTACGCGTTGACCGGCGTTGACCCTAGGGTTTTGAATCGTCGAATGTTGACTTTTTGTTGCAACGCGTTGACTGGCGTTGACCTAGGGTTACGCGTTGACCGGCGTTGACCCTAGGGTTTCGAATCAACCTGAGGAGAACCAGTTTATACTCGTGTACTCCTGGGAGTTTCGGGAATTAGTTTAGCCTCGTGTACCCGTCGGAGGTTGACGGGTTATCCTTAAGAATATTATACATAATATTTTCCAGGAACTTCCCGTCAATTGTGAGAAATAGTTTAGACTCGTATTCTCATTGGAGTATAGATACGAGTGTTGAATACGTCGTAAAAAAAAAACATCTCATACGCGTGTGAACCATGAAAAAAAAGATTCAATCCGGTTCGGTTCATGCTTGTTTGAGTTGGTTCGGGTCATGTGGGCTTGGTTCATATGGGTTCGGTCCAACCCAAGATCCCCCATATAAAAGCTAAACTTCCTTCTCCTCTCCCGTTCGATTCCAGCAAACAAAATCCGCACCCCCCTCATTTTTTTTTTCGGTTTTGAAAGCAGAGAACTCCCCCCTTCAACTTCGGTTTTGTGCTCTCCTTCTCCAAGGACTTCATCCTCTTCTTCTTCAAGCCTTCTAAACTCTTCAAAGCTTCAACTTTCCCTCTTTCCAAGCTCTCATCCTCTCCAAAGCTTCAAGCAAGGAAAGTTGGGTTTGGAGGATCTTCATTAACAACAAAGTCTCCTCTTCAAGGATTCTCCAAGCTTTGGTAAGATCTTCTTTCCTTCATGCTTTAGATTGATTCATTTCTCTTGAATCCTCCAAATTTCAAAACCCTAATTTTTTGATTTAGGGAAAAATCAAATCTTGATTTTTGATTCTTGAAAGTTGGCCGAAAATTAGGATATGTATTCCCTTACTTTTGATTTCAATGCTTTCTTAATTCCATGCACATGT